GAGGGAGGGAAGGGGGTGCGGGGAGAGGGAGGGAGGGAGGGAGGGTGTTGCAGGGCGGGGAGGGTGGTTTCTCCATTTCCGGCACTGGACAAATTTAAGTTTGTTCCTCGCCCGCGCAGTGTGCGCAAGCTCAGGACCGCAAACCGCGGCCGCGCCGAGCCGGTGCTACTGGGACCCGCGGCCGTGCCGAGCTAGTGCTACTGGGATCCGTGGCCGTGCCGAGCCAGTGCTACTGGGATCCGTGGCCGTGCCCGCTTTGCCTGCGGACGTCGGCCGAGCGTCGGCCGAGAAAGATCGCTTCCTTCTAAGGACTCGAATTCGCGCTCTCTCCCAACCAGTCGACGCCGGCTTTCAGTGAGTAAATTTAAAGTTTTGTAAACTTGTAGCGGCCTTGCTCGTCAAAGACGGTGCATCCTCGAGTAAATTTGTACTCGCCGTGCTCGTCATATATGTCCTTCCGTTCCTCTGTTTGAATGCACTTTCTCTCCTCTCGTTGTTTCTCTTCCTCCTTCCCCTTGTCACTCTTCTCTCCAGCCTGCTGCATCGCTGACGAACCAAACTTAATCAAACTTAAGGTTCCCCGGGCCACTTTCGGGGGGCAAACCCTGCCCGGCCCCTAGAACCCCAGGTAAGGCCCAGGTGTGGCCTAGCGCCTAGGGCATCAGAAGGGACCAAGAGGAGTCCAGTCTGAGTCATAGAGCCAATGTCTTTGCCCCCGAAGGTCGCGTTCAAATGCCCGGAACGGACGTTACAGTGGTGTCCGGCCGGCGCGATCACCGAGCTGTGACGCTCAGGGAAGCCCGATGAGGTACTGACTGGTTTCTTTGCCCAGGGCTGGCCTACGGCCCGTGCTGGATCAGCTGAGCAAGGTTTGGGGAGAATCCCCCGGTCAGATCTTCAGATATTTTGATGGATGACCGAAAATGGGCAAAAAGGGGACGCTGTTTTATTTTTATTTTGTAGTTTTGTTAGTGGTTCCTTGGGGGGGGGCTTCGCTCCTTGCGGACTGAGCTCGCGGCCATGGCTCATCCCTCCATGGCGTGCGTCCGGCTGTTCGACAAGAACCCATCAACCTACGACTTTCACAAGCAGATCCAGGACAGCCAAGGCGTAAGCGCGCTGCGCTCTTTTGTGACTTCGGACTCTACTGCACTGGCTGTTGTGTCAGCGCTGGTCTTGACTATCTCAGTGCCTCTACTGCTCGTCCGCGAGGAAGATTTTGTTGACCAGTCAGCAGACAACACGATCTTCCACTTCGCCAACACCGTATTCTGCACTATCTCCATCATCGCCTCGGTTTGCTGTATTACGTCCGGGACGTTCACCATGCTGCATTTGATGAAAGTTCCAGACGAAAGCTTGTTGGACTGCATCTCGTGCATCAAAGGCCGCTTTTGGAATGAACCAGTGCTGTGGTGCTGGGTATCCTTTTTAGGTATGATCGTCGGACTCAGCTGCAACGTCCTATTGCTGGTCGGCTGGATTCACTCAATCATTTGCGCTTCCATCTCTGCGCCCGCAGTTGTGTGGATGTGGGTGGTTGGGGACTGCATGATGCATGGTGCGATACAGAGACAGATGGCGCAGAAGAGGTTGACCAACGAGCAGCAGCTCGTCGACCAGCAGGCGCGTGGATGACGCGTGTGATGTGGGACCTCACTCCCAGAAGCTTGGAGCTTCAGGCCGCGACCACGTGGCTAGGTGGACACTAAAGTGCCATTTTGGCGCCAAATCTTGGCGCGAAATGACACGTGTCTTGGCGGGAGTGTGGTGTGGCTGCGCTGCTCGACAGCGCTGCTGTTGAGCGCCAGCTGCTGCTTCCTTCAGCCAGACGGCCGGGCCTGCGCAGCACAACCGCTGGCCTTCCTCCTGCACCACAGGAGCGCGCCAAGGCGCGCGTCTGGGCAAGCAGTGCGTCTCATCGCGATGCGAGAGTCGACGCTGTGACGCCACCGCTCGCCGGCAAGAATGACAGTGGCAGCATTCGAGTACGCGTCGAGCTGTGCGTACCAGCATTTGTATGCGAGCTCATTGTGTCCCTGAGCTACTGTGGGGTGCGTGGGCTCAGCTGTGGAGCACGTACTGGGCGGCGGTAGGGGGCTGTCCCTAAATAACTTTCCCCGGAGAAGGTACGCATTACAGGTCAGCTCAGTGTACAGTGAGACAGTCGTACGGCTTATGTAAGCCTCACATGACATAAACAAACAAGAAGGCCAAGGCCGTTCTCAGTCAAGCTCGACCAACTGTGCCTTGACTGAGTCCTTGGCCGTCCGTGGGCGGCGCCCCTCTCCGCCGGCGGCAGCGGCGGCGCCTCGCCTCGGGGGCGGTCCGGGCCGCTGGTGCCCTCTGCCGCTCCTGCTCATGCCGCCCTCCTCTGCATCCTCCCCCCTCTCCTCCGCCTCCTCGTTGCCGGTGCCGCTCTCCCGCGCTCTCTCTCCCACCCTCGCCGCGCCGCCCCTGCCGCGCCGCCCTTTCCGCAGCCGGTGCGGCGTCGAGGGCGGTTGCAGCTGCTCCGCCTCGAGCGCCGCGTCGACCTCCTCGCTCGCGCTCGGCGCGCCGAGCCGGCGCGGAGCCCCTCTCCGCTCGCCACCCGTGAGCCGGCGAGCAGCGGCGCACCAGAGCGCGAACCACAACGGGAGGGAGATGATCGCCGCAGCTTCGGCCGCCGATGGGCCGGCGCTCTCGTCCGCAGCGCCGCCCGCATGCCCCCCGCCAGCACCGGCAGCCTGCGCCCGCGGCGCCTCGGGGCGGCTCGCCCCTGGAAGGGGGTTGTCCGTCGGCTCGTCCCAGCCGCACCAGTCGAAGAGCTGCTCGAGGTAGCCGCGCGACAAGACGAGCAGCCGCGACTGGGCGTCCGAGACGCCGTAGCCGACGAGCAGCTTCTCGGCGCGGCTCCCGTCTTGCAGGCCGGTGGGCGGGAGGGAGAGCGCGCTGGGGAAGGCCGTCGGGGGCAGAGGCAGCGCGCGCGAGACGGCCGTCACTCGAAAGGGAGGCGCCGACGCGAAGGTGTAGGCGAGGGTGGCGTAGTCGCCGGCGTCGTCCAGCGTGTGCATCAGCGCGAGGAAGGAGTCGTCGCTGTACCGCACCGCCGTGGCGGAGCCGTGGATTCGGAGGGAGCCTTCCCCCGCCAGGCGGTTGAGAGGCGGGAAGGAGGCCGTCGACCAGAGCCTCTCGCACATGCCGTCGCCGAGGCGGGAGAGGAGCACGGCGTGCGGGAAGAGCGAGTACACAAGGTGCAGCTGCGACCCCACCGTGAAGGCGATCCAGTTCTTCTCGGGCCGGTGAGCCTCGCCGCACTGCAACCGCACAGCGACGCCGCGGCCTGTCGAGGCGAGCCGCGCGCCGTCCCCGCTCAGGTACATCTGAGGCACCGCGTCCGCGTTGCTCGAGCGGCGCTCGCACGCCGGCCGGTGCTGCGTCGGCGGGCGGCTCGAGAAGAGGAGCGCGAAGGGGTCCGTGGCCGGAGTCGTGGCCGGAGTCGTGGCGGGAGAGGCGGAGGGCCGCCGCCTCGCCGCCGGCCCGAGGGCGAGCAGCTTCGGGTCCTCCGGCCCGTCGACCACAGAGCGGAGGAGGGTCCGGTTGGCGGGCACGTACCGAGGCGCCGCCTGGCAGAGGGGCGACCACGCCTGCCGCGCCGCGCTCAGGCTGGCGACAGGGACAACGCGCCGCAGCGGAGGGAGCGAGGAGAGGCCCCACGAGGGCACCTAGTTCCCACAGTTGATGATCGATTCATCACTAACCATTGTCAGGTAGGAGGGGCCCCACGGCGGCACCTCCCACCCGTGCCACGCCTCTGCACTCCCCACCGCCTCGGACGCCTCGAGGACGATGTCCGAGTGCCACGTGGTCGTGAGCTGCGTCACCTCCTCCCCCGACCACAGCCCGCGCTGCGAGGAGCACGCCGTGCCGTGGAGCCGCGCGGCGCGGACGAGAGTGGCGCGGCTGCGGTTGGGCCCTCCACCCACCCACAGCAGGCTCGGGTTGATGAGCCGCCGCCCGCCCTCCGACCCGCCACCCTCGACGCTCCAGTTGAGCGCCACGTCCACCGCGCCGCCGTGCCGCAAGACCACAACGGGTGGAGGCAGCGGCGGCGGCGGTCCGGGCGGCGGGCAAGCCGGAGGAGGCGAGGCGCCCCGCCCCGCCGCCCAGGGCCTCTGCCGCACCGACGCGTCGAGCTGCGCCGCGGCGCAGAGGAGCGCCGCGACAGCGAAAGGGGCGGCGGCGCGAGCGGGGCCGCTGAGCCGCACCCAGAGCCGCGCGGCGGGCCGCGTAATGAGGCGCGCGCAGAGGTACGAGAGGGGGAGGAGGAGGAGGAAGAAGAGGGCGAGGTCGACCAGCCCGAGCCGCGGCGTGGGCCACGCGGCGATGACGAGCATGTGCACCACGTACTGCGCGTAGGCGACCTCGCCCAGGCTGCGGTCTGGCGCGCGGCTGCAGAGCCTCGCCAGCGGGTCGGGCGGGAGGGCGGAGGCGGGCGCGGCGTGGGAGGTGCAGAGGCCGAAGAGGAGGAGGCCCTGCAGCGGGAGGAGGACCGACAGGCGCGCGGAGAGCTTGAAGCCGACCGGGCGCAGCGCGGGCAGGCTGAAGAGGAGCAGCAGGCCAGTGAGGCCGACCGAGGCGCCGTGGGAGGCGGCAGCAGCGACCAGCCGGCGGAGCGGCGCCGACCCTGACTCGCCTCGAGCGGCGTCGGCGGCGAGCGCGAGCTGGCGCGTGCGGGCGAGGCACATGCCGTACACAAAGACGTGGAGGTAGCACAGGGGGTGGAACTTGAGGAAAGCCACCGCGAGGTCGAGGCTAGTGCCGCTCGCCCCCGTCCGGTGCGCGCGGTACCACTCGGGGTCGCCACCGAGGCAGGCGGGGAAGGCGACGGCGAGCCAGGGCAGCGAGGAGCAGAGGAGGAGGAGGGCGCACGCGCGCTCGAGGCTCGTGACGGTGCGCTCGAGGAGGCGGCAGGCGGGGCCGAAGGCGAGCCAGAAGGCGAGAAGGGCAGAGAGGAACCAGCAGTGCACCTGGCACGAGCGGGTACCCCGACGGAGGCTCGAGAGGACCCGAGACTGGGTGGGAGAAAAAGGGGGGGAGGGGGAGTGGACCTGCACGGTCCGCTCGGGCAGCGCCGGGTGCCAGCTCTGCACGAGGAAGCTCTGCGCGGCGAGCTCGTACCTGTGTGTTCACAGGACCGCACGGTGTGAAGAGATGCCCGTCGCGGCTCGAGGCTCCGCGCAGGCAGCGCCCACCACTCTGGGAGCTGCCTGCCCTGGCCGACGCGGAGCAGCAGGGCCGCAGCGAGGCCGGCGGAGTACAGGGGGTAGATGGTGGCGGCGCGCTTGGCGACGAAGCCCGCCGCGCTGTCTGGCTGCTTGGAGGAGGACAGCCGCGCGTGCGTCAGGACGAGGCCTGCGAGCATGAAGAAGAAGGGGACCCACGAGAAGCCCCACGAGCAGAGGTAGTCTCGCCCTAACACACGAGCAGAGGTCCCCTTCTTTTACATACCTAACACACGAGCAGAGGTAGTCTGTTGACAGGTAGTCTCGCGCGCCCGACGGGACGAGCCGCTGCGACTGGTAGAGATGGCCGAGGACGATGTGGACGCTAGCGAGCATGCGAGCCGCCCCGAGGCCGGGCAGCCAGCCGCTGCCTTGGCGAGGCCACGGCGCGAGAGGGCGGCCCACCAGCGCCGACCGCTCGGTCGCTGGAGGCGAGGGCGCGCCCGCCTCGGACGGGCCGAGCAGCGCGCACAGCGCCAGCGCTGCGGCCGCGAGGCCAACGGCCCCCGCTCTCGCGTACGGTCCTGCCGGCCACCGCGACGCCGCCTCCCGGCTCGGCTCCTTCGGACCTGGCGGCGGCGTGGCGCGCTCCCTCTTCCGCCGCTCGGCGATCGCCCTCGCCTCCTCCAGCAGCCTCGCTGGGCAGCGCGGCAGTGAGGGAGCCGACGGCGGTGCCGCAGGGGAGGTGGAGCCGCCCTCGCCGCCCTCGCCGCCCTCGCCGCCCTCGCCGCCCTCGCCGCCCTCGCCGCGCTCGCCGCCCTCCGCCGCCGCGGCATGCGGCCCTCGCCGCTCGAATCGGCACGGCCGGAACTGGGCGCACTCAAAGTCCCGACACTCGAACGAGTCGGTGGCGCAGACGCGGTCGTAAAAGGCGCACCCGCAGTCCTCGCAGCCCATGCGGACAGTCGAGGCGCCGCCGACGACGGCCTAGGAGCATCGCAACTTAGCTCCGAGATCCGACCTCTCTAGCTAGAATGTGCACGCCCAAGCGACGGCGGCTGCCTTGCACGCCGGTGCGAAAGACGCCTCCTCTGGGCAGCCGGCCAGCCGCAGCAGCGCACGCGCCTGCGGGAGGGCGTTGAGGAGCCCCCACGCGAGCCAGAGGTGGAGGAGCGGCGACATGTGGCCCTCGAGCACCTCGTCCGGCCGCGACAGACCGAGGCCGTACACGTCCGCCACCTGACCCAGGGTGACGGACCGCACAATGAGAGCCATCGCTGGCTGGAGAGCTCGAGGCCGCATGCACGTCTGCCGCACCCGCAGCGAGAGCGCGGCGGTGGGCGGGAGCGCCGCCGCCGCTCGCGGCACCTAATTGCTCGGGCGTGGATGATCGAGGTCAGACCCTGCAAGTCAACTAGTCAGGTTGCCTGCCGCCACTTCTCGTGCTCGCGGCGCCTCGTCCCGCACGGCCGCGTTGATAGCTGCGATGCGCTCGAAGCTCCAGTAGTGGGGCAGCGCCTGCAGGAAGGTTCCGCGAAGGGTCTCACGCAAGGCTGGTGACGCGGGAAGAGCTGCAGGGGTGCGGCAGCACCGTCAGCGTGCCAACGAAGACCGTGCAGGGGAGAGGCAGGCCGCCACCTCCACCTCCCGCCCCGCCGCCGCCGCAGAGCGCGGCGTCCGCCTCGCGCAGAAACGCGCGCAGCTCGGCGACGAAGGCGTCCTTCATCGGCGCGGGCCCGAGCTTGAGCAAGTCTTGCCGCTCGTCGCACCTGTTGTGTGTTGAAGGAGAGAGGGGGGGAGGGGGGGAGGGGGGAGGGGGTCAGACCGTGCTTGTTCGGTGCGAACCTTGAGCGGGGACAGGCCGCTCGCACCACATGTTCATGCCACAGTAGTCGTACGCGAGGCCGACCTGCGAGGACGCAATCTGCGGGTGATCTCGCCGGTGACGAAACCGGTGATGATCTCGGGCTGATCTCGGGTGTTCATCTCGGGAGATCTCGGGCGATCTCGGGAGATCTCGGGCGATCTCGGGCGATCTCGGGCGATCTCGGGCGATCTCGGGCGATCTCGCGGCAAGGCGCGAAGTCGGCGCCTGCGTGTAGAGCGAGAGGGCGGCGAGGGACCATGGCGAGGAGCCGCTGCGGACCCTCCCGATCGCCTTTGCCAGCGCGGCGCCGCCCGTCCAGTACTTGCAAAGCACAAACGTCAGGCGGACTGCGCCGCTGCCGCCGCGGTCCGCCGCCGCGAGGAGCGAGGCGTACTCGTCCGCCGCGAGGCCGCGCTTTGCGCGCAGCGTGCCCTCCTCGCCGCCGCCTACGAAGTCTCTGGACGCCTCACCACCACACGCATCGGCGCGCTCGCCTTGGTTGCGCGCAGAGCATTCCGCCGCCACCTCCCAGCGAGGCGAGGGTGAGGGTCGAGACGTGGGCGGGCGAGAAGCCTGAGGCAGAGGCAGAGATAGCCGTCCGTGGCTTCCCCTCGCGAGAGCCATCCTCGGAGACTAGGGCGAGCGAGACGGCGATCGATTGCAGCGCACTGAGGAGAGAGTGGAGTTAGCGAGGGCGGGGCGCGCCTGGCGGCGAGGTAGCAGCTGACCCACCCGTCTGCCCCTCCGGCTCCCAAATGATGTCGACGAGGCCGACCTGGTGTGGTTAGTGCAAGCGACTCTCCAAACAGAAGCGACGCCGATGGGCGACGCCAGGCGAATAGGGACGAAGGCACGGGGCCGGGGGGACGGCTCTGGGGGGGGGGGGGGGGGGCTGCGAGGTCGGCCTTCTCCGCAGTGACGCGCAGGTCCGTGTGGAGAAGGAGGCCCGGCTGCAGCGCGTTGGCGAGAGCCATGTACCTGTGACGAACAGCCACCAGAGTGAACCAAGTGATGCTCAAGACTCCTTCCTCTCGTTAGGCATGCACGTCATGAAGGCGTTGCTCTTGCCCGCCACCACCGTCCAGCCGCCAGACAGGACGCGCATCATCTCGGCGGGTTCGAGGACAGACACGAAGCAAGACCTACCGTAGTTCCATGCCCTCCTCGCCAGCTCATCACTCGCCAGGGCTCGAGGAGGCCGCGACAGGGAAGCGAGACCGGCCGGCGGGGACGTATGTGTCCCCCTCGAAAGTGCCCCCCGCGAAGGCCGGGTCGACACAGCGCGGCGTGTTGGCGGCGCACGACGCGGAGAGCGCCGCCGCCGCCTCCTCCTCCCCTGAGGGCGTCGCGAGGTCGACGCCGGCCAGAGGGCAGCCGTCGGCGAGGCCTGGCGCACAATGATGTGGTGGCTCAGTCGGCCCCTTCGGGGCGTCTGTGAAGTGGGCAGAGCCACGGCGGGGACCCGAGACGACAGATTCGGCGAGCAGTAGCTCCGCCTAAGTTCGTAGCCGGTTCGCACCGAGTCAAAGGGGCGGATTCACGAGGCGTGTGGTTTGCAGCAGAGCTCCGCCTCCGCCTCCGCCTCCGCCGCTAGCCCGAGCGCCGGCGAGCAGCGGGCGGGCGCACGCAGCTGGCAGATACCGAGGGAGAGGACGAACCCGCCGCACGAGCCGCCTACTCTCCATCCCTCATGCGTCGAGGCAACCACTACTGCTCACTGCTAGTACTACTCTGTTAGCCTGACTGCTGGCACTACTCCCGGCAACTGCTGCTGCTGCTACTACTACTACTCCTGCCACTACTACGACTCCTTGCCTGACTGCTGGCACCACTCCTGGCACTGCCTCGCAGACGGGGAGGCGCCCGCGGGCAGACGGCGCGCCAGATCGGCCCGCGCGACCGCGGGAGGCCACCACCCCTCGTCGACGCCTCGCGCCAGGACGGACGCCTGCGCGACCACTGCGGTGCGCTCGCTCCTCGCGCAGCTCCGGAGGCCTCCGCCGTACACGAACCCTGCCGCGTGGCACGGCCTGCCGCTCGCTGCGAGGGCGACGGCTCGCCGCGCGGCGTCCACCGCTGCCGAGTCGGCGAGCAGCCCGGTCGGAAACCGCACGCCCAGCCGCGAGCCGCACGCGCGCGCCCCAGACGAAAAGCCCGCCTCGCCGGCCGGCTCGTCGAGCGGCGCCGGACGCGGCTCGTCGGCGCCGAGAGCGCCCATCAGGAGGCAGCGCGTGTCGCCGCGCGCAGCGTGCGTCCAGACCTCACAGCCCGGCGTCAGCTGGCACAGCTCTCGGCACGCGAGCGGGCTGCTCACTCTCCGGTCGCCGTGAGTGAGTGCGACCGGCGACCAGCGCGACGCGTTGGCGTAGCAGGCGCCCGCGCACGCCATCCCGATCAGGGGAGCGTACGCGGACGCGCCGAGGCGCACATCTCCGTACGGCACGAGGAGGTCGTTGGGACAAGAGGCGGCGACCATTATATTGGAGCCGCCGTCTCAAAAATGTATTATCCTAACGGTGTGGGGGCGCGGAGGGCTTGTTGGCGAGCCAAAATGGTGTTTTCCGAGGCGCTGCGCTAGGCTCAGAGCGAGTTCGCGCTGCGCTAGGCTCAGACGGCGAGTTCGCGCTGCGCTAGGCTCACAGATGCGAGTGCGCTGCGATAGAAGAAAAAACAGGGTCGAAACGACAACCGAAGGGAGGACTGTGTAGTGTAATCATGTGTCAAGAATCACGTGCTGCTGCTGCTGCTGCTACTGCTGCTGGCCTGCTGCTGCGCGGCGAGCGCCGTCGCCGAGGCGGGCCTCGGCGGAGAGCGCGATTATGCGGCCTTTTCCGCGACCCGCACAAAGAAGAGGCGCCCTCCGTCAGCCTCGACCTGCCACCGGCTCGCGTCGACCGACCCGGCCGCGTGCCACACCTCCACAGCCCAGTGCGCCAGCCCGCAGAAGTTGCCCTCCTCGATGCCCCATCCCGTGGGCCACGCGGCCAAAGCGGTGCCGAGAGGCGGCGGCGGCGCCGCGGTCGCCTCGAGACGCGCCGCGACGGCGTCAAAGGCGATCCGCCTCGCGCCCGTCGCGGCCGCCTCGGCCAGCAGCGCCTCCCCGGCCAGCCGCGGGAGGTCGCCCTCCGTCTCGAACCAGCACGACGAGCGGCCGTCGGCGCACGCCTCGTCCCACGCCTTGAGCTGGCGGACAAAGGCCGCCAAGCTCTTGAGGCCGGGCGAGGGCGCGGCGGGCGACGGGGCAAGGGAGCAGCCGGGCGAGGAGAGGTAGGAGGTGCTCGCCGGCGAGCGCTCCCGCGCCTGCGAAGGGGCAAGGCCTGAGGGCGGGCGGGCGGTCGGGCGGGCGGGCGCGGGTGGGGGGGATAAACGCTGCGCCGCCAAAGGAACCAGCGACACTGGCCGCGGCTCGTCGCCACGCGCCGGCTCGGAAGAGGGGCTGTCGGCGGCGAAGCAGAGTGGCACGCCTCGCCGCTCGAGCCGCCGACAGCCCCCCTCCTCGATGTGACGGCCGCTCCCGGAGCCGGCCGGTGCGCGCCTGACCCACGCCCCCTCTCGCACCCCTCCGACCCCCCCTGCGCGGCGCACCCGTCCGCTGTGCGCCGGCTCGAGCGCCTATTGCCAAATCGCGACGTTTGAGCGCAGCGCACGCATCCTCTGGGCGCCTGAGCGCGGCGGAATCTTGCCAGAATGTGGCCGCAGGAAGAGCCTCCGGCGGGCCTCCGGCGGACGCCTGGCGGCGTGGCGCTGCGCGCCGGCCTGCGGCCCAAAGCCCGAACGAGCGGTCAAGTTAACTTGACGCGCCGAATCCCTTGGTTGGCCCTCGCAGCTGTGATACAAAAGTGGGGACGCGCCTGGCGGCGCGCCCCCAAAAAATTAAATAAGAATTCGCACGGCGGCCACCGGTGCAGCTCTGGACGGCGCCCTCCCATCCCTCCCTTGGGTTGTGTGTTTTCTTTCTTTCTTTCTTTCTCTGGACGGCGCTCGCGGACGGGGCGCTTGGTGCGGCGTCGCGCGGCCGCGAGGTACCGCGGCAGGAGGCTAGCGGGATGGGGGGCTCTAAGGGGGGAAGGGAGCGGGGGGGCGCCCAGTAGGGCGCCGGCACCCCAGCGAGCAGCGTAGAGGGCGTCGTCTAGCCCTCTTTTAGGTAATAAAAAGAGTTCGCCGGGTGTATGTTCTTCACCTTCTCTCTCTCTCTCTCTCTCTCTCTCTCTCTCTCTCTCTCTCTCTCTCTCTCTCTCTCTCTCTCTCTCTCTCTCTCTCTCTCTCTCTCTCTCGCTCTCTCTCTCTCCCCCCCCCCTCTCTCTCTCCCTCTCTCTCTACGTACGCTATCGGGAAGCACTGGAGGCGTGCACCGGCGGGGGTCGGGCCCGCGTCGTAACTTTAGAGGAGCCCGCAAGGGACACGGCCTTCTTGGTCCGCGGGATGTGGACCCATGTCAATTTGCATGCACATGTACATGTATGTTGTTGTTGTTGTTGCTGTACGACGGTGTTACGCTATATGTGCATGCGTGCGTACTTCTTACCCACTGGCTTTATATCCATCTTGTGTGTTACTCTTCTCTTACCAACTGGCCAGAGTGCGATTGTGTGTGTGCGGGAGTTGGTTTGTCGGGAGGGAGGGGCAGGCTGCTCACCCACGTGCACCGGGCCAGTGCTTGCACTTTGAACGCCGTGGGGCTCCTGCCCGTGTCCGGGTGTGGAGATGCGAGGGTCGCCCCCCCTTGCCCCACCACTTTGTGTGTGTGTGGAGAAATTTACCTTACCTTACCTCTTACCAACCGGGTCTTGTAGCTCGGCTAGTTCCGGGGCCGCCCTTGGCGCGCGCGGCTCGGTGCACGGTGGCTTGTGTGGCTTGCCGAGTTAAGACATTTTTTGATCTCGGTCTCGCTCAGGCTCTTTTTTCCACGTCACACGACCGACGCAACACCCCGTCACACGTTTACGTGTACGTAGTCTCGCTTTCTCTACGACGGCTCCACTGCCGGTCTGATGGGCGCAGTCGCCGGTGACAACACTCCGTGCCGCACTAGCTGCCGCCTGACGAGGCGGGAGGCGAGCGCGCGGCCGTAGGGGATATAGGAGAGCATGTACCACGTGAGTGCGGCGAACTGGAGGAGGATGAAGAGCAGCGCGAGGATGGCGAGCCGCAGCCAAAAGATGGAGAGCAGCGTGCCTAGTCGTGGAATGAAGTGAGGCGAGGGACGGGGGAGGGGGAGAGCAGGTGGGCGAGCGGAGGAGAGAGAGCAGCGAGCCTGCGAGCGTGAGCAGGTAGGCGAGCGAGGCAGCACGCCGCTCCTTTGCGAACATGGTGCGGCACTGGCGTGCCGGGCCGACCAGGAAGGAGGAGGCGCCGAGCGAGAGGATGTTGCCGAGGGTGTACTTGAGTGCAAACGGGACGGGGTTGCCTGGCGTCAAGCAACACCAGTTGAGGTTGCCAGCATGTCGTCGAACGCAGGGCGGAGCAGGGGCAGCAGCGGCTTGGCGAAAGGAGAGGGGGTGTCTCGGAGGTATCTCGGAGGTGTCTCAGGGGTGCTCAGAGGTGTCTCAGAGGAGTCTCAGACGTGTCTCGGAGGTGTCTAGCAGGGGCTGCCGAGCAGCAGCTTGGCAAAGGAGAGGAAGGAGCCGAGCGAGAGGAGAGCGCCTGCTCAGCTCCCGAGGTGTGAAGGGGCACCGGGTTCGAGCTGGGTAGAGCGAGGCGAGGAGAGGGGCCGATGAGCATGCAGCACGCACAGCCGATCAGCCGCTGCTTGTAGCTGAGCGCCGGGCAGCACGGGCACACCTTCATCGACACCAGCTCACCTCTCAGCGTTGAGACATGCAGCGATGCACTGGGCCAGGGCTGCACTGGGCCAGGGCTGCACTGGGCCAGGGCTGCATCGGCGCGCCTTCATCGGCGGCTCCTGCTCCATGCCAGGCACAGAGAGCCCGCTCGCAGACGCAGCGGCGGTCAGCGCGCCTAGAGGGAGCTCAGGCATGGTGTCGGACCGGATCCCGACCGCGTTGAGAGCGCGAGCCGCTCGGCCAACCTCCCGCGCCCTTGGCTCCCTCTTTGATCCGGCCGACGCCGCTCGAGCCGGCCGCGACGGCGGTGCGAAGTCCCTCGGCGCCCCTCGTCTTGGCCTGCCGCGCGCCGTCCATGCCCTGGCTCAGGCCCGACTTGCCCGCCTCGCCCAGCTGGCCCAGGCGCGAGCCAAAGTAGCCGAGGGAAGGGAGCTGACTCAGGCCGGAGTTGAGCCGGTCGCGGGCTCCGCTGACGAGGCTCCGCTGCTCGCTGTCGGCGTCGGAACCGGACTCGCAGCCCGGATCGGGACCGCCCTCGGTGCTAGGCGCCTCGAGGCGGCTCCTCGCCGTCTCAGCAAGCGCGGCCGCCCGCTCCTTGATCTTTGAGACGTCTATGCTCGCCGCCTTTTGGCGCGCGCTCTCGAGCGAGCTCTGAGCCTCGACCTGCAGCGCTAGCGCGCGCGCCTTCAGCCGGTCCTTCAGGCTCTCGCTCATGGGTGGCACTGTGAGTTGTGTTCTAGGTCTGTTGTTTGCAAAGCAAGACGCAGCGCTGTGACTTATGCGGGGGCGTGCAGCACCGGGAAAAAATCCGCGCGGTCATTCTCGAGGTTCTCGAGGTGGATATCCTTTGGCCGCGTTGGGTAGCGAGGATTGGTGTAACCCGAGCCACGGAGGCGTGTTTTCTGACGGCCGACCGTCAGTGCACGGAGTTGCCACTTCTCCGACTGCCCCGGCCATTGGGATAGCGGCCCAACTCGTGATACCGGGTCGTAGGCCACTAGTTTCCGCAGGAGACTCACGGAGATCCTCTCCTCTCCTACCTCTTCTTCTGCCTCTTTTACTCGAAGTTCGAACTTCCGTGTAGACGGGCGCTCTCGCCCGCTCGCTGCTCTGATGAGCGCGGCTTCCGCTGCTCTCTCCTTCACCTGGCCCTGACGCCGCTCCTCGTCCTTGGCCGCGCCAGGCTCTCCTACTGCGCCAGCCCTTCGGCTGCACCAGTTCTTTCTTCTGGGATGTCAGGGATTCTGCGTAGCCCTTCCTGGTGGAGGCGCGCGCGATTCCGTGACTCTTCTTTTACGCGCCAATGTACCCTCGAACGAAGGTACAATGCAATTTTTCTTTTTGCGGGGTGCCCGCCGCTTAGGCTAGTCCCCGTCGAGACTCGAGAGCCCTACTATCGCGTGTGAGAGTGAGTGTGTGAGTCACACACACACACACACACACACACACACACACACACACACACACACACACACACACACACACACACACACACACACACACACACACACACACACACACACACACGCTCTCCCTACCACAGCCCGCCCTCTCCGGGATCTCCTGACCTCGAGAGCCGCCTCCACAGTCCGCGATGCTGGAGGCGGGATGGTACCAGTTCAACCAAGAGTACTTCCGCCTCAGCGTGCAGCTCGCCGCAAAGGAGCTCGAGGTCCTGGAGAGCCGGTTCTCTAGTCTGATCGTGGTTGCCACCATTCTTGTCGGTTTTGCATTCACGGCACTTGTCGAACTCGACGTCAACACGGCCTCGCTGGAGGCACTGGAAGAAGCCGGATTTGACTGGATGGAGGACGTGTACTATGTTTGCGTGGCGGTGACCATCGCCTTCAACTTGTTCGTCCTCTTCGTAAGCCCCCTAGAAGACGCCAGAACGCGGAACAACCCCACACCAACCCGGGAGGATCCCGACGCCCACCTGCTGCCACTTTGCACGGATAGGTCGCGACGTTGGGCATCATCAAGGGGCAGCGAATGGCTCTGCACGGGGACGTGGACGTGTCGCAGCAGCAGCTTGAGATGCAAGCGAGCCTCGGCTTCTCTCCAGGCATGATTGGGGAGACGGCCGCACCGCCAGCAGGGGTGAACGAAGCGGCCGCCGCAGTTGGCATCGAAAAGAGCCACGACGACGTGCGGCAAGCCATTGTGGCCCTGCGAGCTCTCCAACCGTGCCTGCTCTTTGCGTTTGGCGCCTCGTTGATTTCATTCGTAGTCGGCGCAATCGCCATTGTCTGGATTAAGACGCAGCCAGTGCACCACCTAGTGCAAGGTGGCTCTCCAAACCACATCGGCCTGATGCTCTCGGCCGTCTTTGCTGTGCTTCTGCTTGTGATGCTCGCGTCTAGCATCTGGGTCAACCGGTTATTCCGGCTACATGCCTTCCATGAGGGGAAGGTTGCCCCCAAGACCACTTCTGGTATGGTTGGCAGCGCGGATCTGCGTCAGCCGTTGGTGTGATGAGGAATCCATGAATCAGAGCTCGCAACCCAACAGGTACAGGTACCAGCCTGAGGCTGACTCCTTCGGTGGGGATGTGGGGTCGAGGTATGCGTTAACTCCAATCTCTAATGTGTTACGTGTTAGTACATTTTGCGTCTGCCGTCTCGCAGCACACCCTCCAGCTCCACTCTGATTTCTGTTTTGCTTTTGGTTTTGCGTTTTGGAGTAAAGGCGATATATCGTACGAGAAGGAGGGGTGCTCTGTACGTAGCGCTGCAAGCGAGAGAGTATAACTATAAGGCGGCCTGTCGAGATGCGCAAGACGCAGCTCAGTGGAGGCCGCCCTGCGCCCACCCTCGCACCGACCCCATGAGACGTAGAAGTCCGCGGTCCGGCAGCTCCGCAACTCTCTGCGCGGCGAGCCGGCACGCGCATCTGAATTCGGCGCGCGCGGGCGCAGAAGGGGCCGGCCGCCGGTAGAGAGATCGACGATGTGATCGAATCAGTCCCGCGTGTCCTTCCGGCGCGCGCCCCTCAAAAGCTCCGGCCCCCGCTCCCGCCTCTCCCCAAGCCGCGCACCTTGCGGGCCATGAGGCGGACGTCGCTGGCACTCGAGCCGGCCCGGGCCGCTCGCCTAGTGGCACCGCTGGGCCTGTGAAAGGTGACTCTGTCAGGGACCTCGGCCGCAAGGCAACGCGCGCTAGCGCGCCCTTGGTCCGCTTGCGCGCGTCCACGTGCAGCGCGGGAGAGACGATGGAGGCGAGAGGCTGCTGCGGGTGCGTGCCCATCACGGCGACGGCGATCACGAGGTGGAACGGGCGGTTGCCTGGTGCGCGGCGGCGGTGTGACGAGAGACGCTGTTCGTTCACTGGCCACGCTGTGGTGTGTTTGCGGGGCTGCCGCTCGTCCGTGAGGTGTGCTGCAGGTGCAGCGACGAGAAGGAGGCCTGCGAGGCGGAGGGGCGGGAGGGGCGGACGGGTGATGGCACGTTAGCCTGGACCCCTGTGCAGCCTCCGTGGGCCCTCTCCATGTACAGATACGGGCAGCATTCGGCATCTGGGGGCGGGGGGCGGGGGGGGGGGGAGGGGGGCGGGGGTGTGGCCTCAAGCAACGCGCGCGACCGCCGCAGAAGCCGCTGCGTGCACTGGCCGGTGAGGCCCTGGTTCTCGAGCTGCTCTGCGCCTGCACGAACCTTGCGAGAAGGCTCGGGGGACGCTGCTACGAAGGCGGTGCTCGTGAACGAGCTGCTCGGCGCCGCCGCCGGCGGAGAGAGTGCCGCACATCACCTGGCAGAGGGGCTCGCGTGGTGTGTGGTGCGTGGTGCTGGGCCTACAACGTGGAGGAGAGAAGGGGGGAGGGAGAGGAGAGAGCAGATCGGAGAGAAGAGGAGAGAGGGGCGGAGGGGGTAGCTCCTCACCATTGCGACGAGTGGCGCGTTGCCCAGCGGCGCCGCCTCGTCGAGTGCCACCTGTGGCGTATGCATTGCCATCCAGGACTATCACCTGGACCTATCAACAGGGGCTGGAGCCGAGCAGGAGGGCCCAGCGCACAACCCCTTGTTCAACTCACCCTCCACACCCCGTACGCAACGCGCAAACTTACACTTATACTGGGGGGAAAGGTGAGTCCGTGGGAGTGGTGAGAGTGCCACCTGTGGCAGGGACGGTTCCGAGAACGGTCGGGGAAGGGGTCGACCGACTGCGGCGGCTGCGGCGCCTTCGAGCTGCACCGTCACTGAGAGGCGCGGGAGGCACCACTTCTTGTGCCTGGGAAGGGTGGTGGGAAGGGCGGTGGTAGGGCGAGGCTGAGGTCGGCTTCTCCTCACCCTAGAGTGTGTGTGGCCACAGGCGAAGGGCTCTCCCTCGCGTCTCCAGGTCGTGTGCTTGTTTGTCGAGAGAGGGGTTTGGCGAGGTGTGAGAGAGGGGTGCGGCTGCTCACCGGCCTCCCTCTCCACCTCTCTGTGGAGTGTACGCGTGGGCATGTGCGAAAGTGATGTGTACGAGAGCCTCACCACATCCACTGCGACCGCTCCTGCCAGTAGAGCAGCGGGTTCTCAAAGGCGGCGTGCAGCGCCTCGGGCGGCAGCGTCAGCCCGGCCTCGTTCGCAGAAGGCTGCTCAAAAGGCATGCCTGCTCGGCGAAGCACAGAGGGTGGGGCACAGTGCACTAAGTCGTGGCCATTGCTGCGAACGGCGGCGTCGTGAACCGCGGGGATGCATGGCCCTACGATGCGTCGCATCTAGGGCGGCGTGCCCGCCGGGCAGACGTGGGTGGGACACGCGCACGGTGTCCAGAGAAACGGGAGCCTGAGGGAGGCAAGGCCAGGGTCAGGATACGGACCGCGCTGGGTGAGCATGCGCTGTTTGCCTCGCGGCCAGGTCGTCCTCCACGTCTGTGGAGTCGTCGCGAAGGCCGACCGTGCTGCCGATCATGAACGGCGGCGGCATCATCAGCGTTGGAAACGGCGGCGATGCGGGTATCGGCGGCGGCATTCCCGTCGATGCCGGATAGACCGGAGCTGCCATACTGCTAGCACTGCCTCCTCCCAGCTCGAGGAGCATGCTGGCACCCTCGGCCGCCGATGTGGATGGGGCATCACGCAAGCTGATCTGACGTCGGAGCGATTCGTTGTCAGCCCTCATGAACGGCGGTGGATTGATCCCCGCAAAGGGCTGCTGAGGCGCGAACGCTGGCGGTGGCGGCGGCATCATCAGCGTTGGAAACGGCGGCGATGGTCGGGAATCGGCAGCGCCATCGTCTGCAGCAAGGTCCGGTCCCCGCCGAACGGTGTCAATGGAGTGCACCTCAGCATGAATTCTTTTTCTTCTTTTACGGTCAGGAAGCACGGTGGTCGTGCCATCGTCGCTTCGTACACACCGACACACGCCGCATTCGTCGCCGGCGCGCGACAGGCTCCCGTCGGCGGGACTGCCCTCGACGAGTGGGTGTCGCCAACCAAAGCGACACGCACTCGAGGGTTGTGCCGACGGGACGCGGCTCGAGGGCGACTGACTCTCGCGAAGGCACGGCTGGCAACCGTGGCGCGGGGCTCGCGTTCGACAAGACCGGGATCGCTCTACCGGCAAACCTCAAGCTGACATGCGCGCCCCGTCGAGCTGACGGCGGGCGCGCTGAGGTCGCACGCCAAGCCAAGTTATATGCCAATGGCATGCGATCTAGAATCGGCTCACGCGCCTCTACTCGCATACGCTCACCCATAGAATTGTCACCACCAGTGAGTGCGAGATAGGGCTAGCGGCTGGCGGCTAGCCTCTGAGGAGAGTGACCAGAGACACCTCACACGACCCCACACACGGTCTAGTCCGGCCTCGCGGTCGGCGGAGATTGCTAGAGGACGAGCAAGGCTGCTCTAGCCTCACGCGTTCGCCCCTGTCGTCTGTTGTGTTGTTGTGCCCTTGTTTGTTCCTTCGGCACCTTGGCTGGGGGAGGCGACAGGGGGGGGGCGCGGCCTTGAGTTATGTGTACGCGAACTCAGGGTGTGTGGCAGCCAGCTGGCTGTGTGTCTTGTGAGCTTGTTTGTGTCTGTGTGTTGCTCGTGCGTGCGTGTCGTCATCATCTGTCCCGCGTCCACCCATACCGCGTTGGTGTCCAGTCCGAGCCTGACTGTCGTTCATCTTTCTACATACATACATTACGGCAGCTTGTTAGCCCTCAGCCGCTAACGATCGCGCGATAGGATCATTGCAACGCGGCATATAGACATGTGTACATGTCACGGATCAAGTTTGGGCCACGACACGGGCCGAGACCTCGAGAGAGCGCAGAGCCCAGCTCGTGCATCCTAATACTTGCAAAATGCAGCAGAGTCCTCCTACGGGAATGTACGTAAGAGCTACATTGGTAGGGCCCCCAAGGGCCTAGAAATCGCGCCTCACTCTCCCTTGTCTCCCAGTAAGCTAAAAGTACGTACACTGAGAGAGAGAAGAAAGAGAGGGGTTGTGTTTCTCTCTTTTCTCCCAGAAAGCTACACCAGGAAAAGAGACCTGCGGCAAAAAAAATCTTTGACCCCCGGGCCCTCCGAACTTGCTCCCCGTCGCGGCGCGATATGGATCTGACCACGCTGCCGGACGAGATCCTGACTCAGGTTCTCCTGTGGCTCGACGCCCGGCAGCTCGCGGCGTCGGCGCTCAGCGCCCGCTTCATGGCACAACGCGTCCGCGCCGCGGCAGAGGCGCGAATGGAGAGGCTTGGCTCGGCATGGCCCACGCTTCTGGAAGGGGAGATCCCAAGCTGGTCCTTGCGAATCGTGGAGACGCTCGGGCGGCGCGGCACGATGTGTAGGTACCTCATCGACGGGCCGGTGCTGCTGCTGCATCACCGCCCATCAAGCACAACGCTGCACCTCGCGGCGTGGGGGCACGCTCTCCAAGCTTGTGTGACGATCGGGCGCCAAGGGGCTGTCCACTCTGCTTTGTTTGCGATCGAAGACGTCCTGGCCCCTCCGGCGCTGTACAGCTTCCAGCTGGCGGCGGAGGACAAGAGAGCCAAGCATGAGCGCGCCGCCGCGGGCTCGCCGCTCGAGCTGCTAGTGCGCAAGACGGCTATCGACAGCGAGGCTGCGCGTCGCATTGGGTGGACCGTGCGAGGCGACGGGGTTGTCGTCCTTGAGACGATAAAGTGCGGCATCTTCGGCGGCGCTGATTCAGTCGGTGAGGCGGCCGAGGGCAGTGAGGCGTGCACGAGGGCCCTCGGCGAGGTGGCCGAGGATGGCTTCCGCCTCACTGCGGGTGGGCCGCCGCTTCAAGATCTCCGGACGAGCCCAGGGAAGCTCACGACCTTTCATGGCAACTTTCATGGGGGCGCTTTCGCCACGATGACGACCACATTACCGCCGTTCCCTGTCGCCTTCCCCATCTCCGCGACCGGTGAGGTGGACCGAGACGTGCGAGCCGCAGCTCGCACCATAGCCGTGGAAAGCGGTGCCGCGCTCCATTCTGCCCTCGCTGCCCTAACTTAGGGCAACGACGTGTGTGCTCAGCTGTTTCGGCTAAGTCGAATTGTACCGGATTCAATGTTAAAAAGAAAGAAAGAAAACACACAACCCAAGGGAGGGATGGGAGAACGGCACGCCGCCACCACACAGGGATTTTAAGGAGAGGAGTGGATGTTAGTGCCCGGAAAAGAGTCCCAGTTTTTGGGGGCGCGCCGCCAGGCGCGTCCCCACTTTTGTATCACAGCTGCGAGGGCCAACCAAGGGATTCGGCGCGTCAAGTTAAAGGCCCACTCCACGCCCCCTTTCGACTTTGAGCAAGTGTCGACACTTGGCCGCCGCTGCCTCCCGAGCCCCGCTGAGCACTCCCACGCCGGTTGTATTTGCTCTCCGCCCACCAGCTGGCCACAGGCCGCCACCCTCACCGGCCGGCGTCGCGAGAACGGCCAGACTCGACCGACCGGGTGTCGCGCCGCTGCCTGCTTCTCGCGCCGCTGTAGCAGCGCCAGCGGCTTGGCCGCGCATCCTTCACACACGCTGCCACAACCAAGCTGAGCGAGCCCAGTGTCGAGGTCTGGTGCGAGCTGCATGCGAGGGGCGGCTGTGGCCACAGCAGGTCCACCAGACGGACCTCAAAGCTTGCCGTCGGCGTGCTGTCCTGGCGAGAGCGCGAGACCGCTGCAGAGGAGCCGAGTGCAGTGGCGAGCCAGAGGCTACCAGGGTCACCAAGTGGTAGCCCTTGCCCATTCTGATCAGGGCTGTGCTTTGGTGGGGTTGTGTTTGAGCATGTGTGAAGTGGGAGTGCGTGCCGGCGGTGTCTGTGGGTAAAACGGGCGTGTGTGAGGCCGTAAGAGCCGTGGTATGAGCCAGAGTGGGCTTCATCATCCAAGATGAGTGCGGTCTGCGACAGCTCAGACTTGATACTGATGGGCCTGGGCCAGGAGAGCGACAGAGATGGCGAGGTGGTGAGCTGGGAAGCCGCTTTGTCGGCACCTGGATGTGTCGCGATGAAGTGCCAAGAAGCCCTTTTGCGGCTAGTGCTCAAAACCTCGGGAGAGAAGGCCTACATATTATGAGTGAATCTATGCACCTGGTGCATGGGAACTGTGGAACAGGACATTTCACAGTCGGTGGCGCCGACAATGACCTCCGGAAAGCCCTCGCAATCGCTCGGCACGGGGCCACCGGGAGTGCTCTCGAGCCCTACACCGGAGCATCACGAGCCGGTGTGAGCTCGAAGACCCGAGATCAGTGCG